ATGTAGTGTTTATATTTTTCTAAAAAATATTTTTAATTCAAAAGATATTAAAATAATTTATTGAAGTTTTTTTTATTTTTCATATTAATATATTAAAAAAATGAATAAATAAACATAAATTTAATATTTTTTATTAAAAAATAATTTAAAAAACATAAGTCACTGTACTGCGAAAGGACAGTTAAATTAAAATCTTGCCTCCATCGAAGAAACAGGTTCTGTCCATGAAGATGGCTATAGGGGTCTGTATCGAAGCTACTTGGAAAGTGATTTATGGGTAGCTGTTCGGTCCTAATTTCCATCTTTTATTAGTGTTTCTGTCACATCAGTTTAGACGGCGAAGATAAGTAATTTTTTTTTGTATATTTTTGTTTTCTTGTTCACCCTCCAAATCTGCTGACCTGTCTCCAACTACAGCTATTTTGCCTGAAACGTGTGACATAAGTATTCCATCTCACCATTCACCATCAGGCCCTTCATTCTCAGATCACTCACATTCTTCCATTTCCACATCTTCATCTCCTCCTCACATTCGTATTCATAAATTTTAAAAAATAAAAAATATTTAATTATAATTTTAAATAAAAAACACTTAAAAAAAACAATTATAAAGCAAACTCTGGCATCCCCACTGGGACATCCCGGATTTGGGCTTCTCTCATATTTTTTTCCAGTGGGTATCGTGCGATGGCCAGTAAAAATGTCGTCGCAAAAGAAAAGCCAGAGGCATCAGAGCTCAGGTGAATTAATTAAATTTCACATTAATTAAATAATAATAAAAATATCAATCCATATTTTTCTCCACCGCCCTCTCCTTTAGTCCCGAAGCTTCATGAAAATCGTCTCTAGATTTCTCCTTGGAAAATCAGCACATTGTCACAAATATACAAAGAGTAATGGGGGATTTCAAATTATTTAATTTTAAAACAGTTTCTCTCTTTATCACTAAATTTTATAATTTTTTCTTTCCAGTCTCAAATCAAAAATCAAAAAATCAAAAATATATCAAAACAAAAGGTTTGAAAAACTAAAGGAACTAAAAATAGGTTAAGTACAGAGTTAGAGAATCAAAAGTTAACATTTTGAATATTTTGAAATGGTCATCAAGTTTCTTTGTGTTTTACAGTTTGGTTCTTTATTTTTATTTTTTTTTCATTTCCTGATAAATTTGAAGTAATTAGCCTCTGATTTGGGCACTGAAGGATCCAATCATGAAAAAACAAAATTGAGGGTCAAGATATCTAAAAGGAAAAGGAAAAGAAAAGTCCAAAATTGTAAGAGGATAAACAAATTAATTTGTTTCTTTTGTAATGTAATGTAGTTATAATATAACTAGTCCACTAATCTCATATAGAACAACTCAGTGAGATCAAAAATGTCCAAAACTATATTAAGAAATGTGGAACTTGACAACTTTCTCTGTCACCACTTCCTCCCTCTTTCTATAATATTGGAATCGAGGATTAAAAATGAAATAGAAATGAAATTAGTGGATTGAAGTGTTAAAATACCATGAATTGTCTCAAATATGTATAGTTGAAGGAGAGAATTGGTACATCAGGTAATCAAAGTACGTACTAGGGCATCGTTTCTAAATTTAAATGGTTAGGATTAAATTTATCCATCCAGTGGCTGCCATTAATCTTGATACTAGCAATTAAGTCATTGCCTTTGGGTTAAACCCGAAGGCATTCAAATCGGCTCCATACTAACGAAGAGATTAAACTGACAATTAATTGAAACTTCAAGCACTAAAACCTAGCTTACATTCGATAATGACCCATTTCGACCGTCCCGCCTATCATTCCACGGATAAATTGCGTAATTTCCACGGGAAAAATAAAATAAAAATGAAGTTATATACTATGAAATTTTGTTTTTTGTTTTTTGTTTTTTTTTTTTTATTTACGTGGGGTGTCCGGGTCAGCTTACGCGCACCACGACTAATCTCCACAGCCCACTGAACACCCTGCAAACCCAGCAAGCAGGTAAGGCAGCGTGGGGCGGACATGCATGCAACTCCAAAGCTCGAACCCGTGACAACAGAAGGCGCAAGACGCCATTTCACCGTTGGGCCGTTGCCTTGGGTGCTTTAGGTTGATGATGCCGTCTTTTATAAATACAATATTTTAATATTATTATATTTTAAAATTATGATATTTGCTTATACATTGTTATTGTGAACTGCTATATTAATTATAATTTATTTTTTAATTTAGAATTAAATTTTAAAAAGCATAATATTTACTAAATTTTATATTTTAGATGTGCGATAATATTAATTTTTTTTTCAGATAATGCTAACCCCACCCCACAAAACAATTTATCTTGGTTGATAGTGATATACCGCGGATATTTTTGGGTCTTTGATAGAAGTCTTTGGTCTTGGCGTTTTATAGTTTCTCCGTCCAGATTGCGGAGCAAAGATAACGCTGCTACTTAGGTTTGTACAAGAGATAAGAAGAAATTGTGAGAAAGCGGGATGTCAGCTGTGGCACAGGAGCGGTGGTTGCTGGATTTTGACTCATGACATTTGCTTAGTAAAGCTGTTGATAAGGTTTGGTTTTTTTTTTTAAAAAAAAATTAAATTAGTATAATAGGTTGATAAAAAAAATATTATTTTAATATATTTTTAAATAAAAAATACTTTAAAATATAATCATTATTTGTTATAATAATCTCAAATATATTTGTAAAATATAAAGTTTAAAATTGGTTTTTTTTTAAATTAAAAGATAATTTTTTTACTAGCAAGTTTTTTTTAGTGAGAATGTATTGATGGTCCGGATTGGACTTAAATTGTAAAATTACTCTGTAAAAGAAAGAAAGAAAGAAAAGTTGATTTATCTCATAGTCGTGGGGGGAAAAGATAACAAGTTAAAAAATTCATCCCTTCCTCTCTCTATGTTTACAAGATAGATAAAAAAAGAAATAGAGAGATTTAAAAGAATATCATCCTTCAAACTCTTGCAATGAATCGAAAATGAACATTCCAATTAATTCTTTGTATTGTTTTATGAGATGTTTTTTAATTGAAAATATATTAAAATAATAATAAAATATATAAAAATGTATCAATCTAATATTTAAAAAAAAAAATTAAAATGCAGATTGTAATGCAAAACACACTATAAATCAATTCTTAAATACCTTAATTCCAATATATAAGAAAACCACCAAAAGAACCATATTTTACCTTTTGCTACTACAAGTAAAACAACAAAAAACTCTACAACGATTTAATTTTTATTAACTACATTGATGTGAGTATTTAATTACTAGTTTAAAATAGTATTTTATATATAAAAAATGTTTTTCACTGGCTAACCTCTTAATGAAACTCTAGCTTCACTTGCGAGGATCAAATTCCAGAATTATAGGGAAATTAAAAAAAAAAATACTTTAAGGGAGCTCACTAAAAACATAAACTTGATTGGATTATGAAGTGGCAATGTCGCAACTCTTATATCTGAATTTACAAATATATATAAATTAATTAGTAATTCAATTTTAATATTGTTTTTGTTTTAAATGAATAGTCCCGCTTACTTTCAATCTATATTCCGGCTTCTTTAATAAAATATGGTTCATGTAATATAAAAGTATTTAACACTCTCTTAAAAATCCATGAAAAAAGTGTGAAAAAAAATAATTAAAATCATATCAAATAAATCAATTAATCCCTACTAGGGTGAAGTAAACGGTGGGTAGTGGGCACTCGGATGTTTTCTAACATAATAATATTTTCTGTAGGAAATCCGAAATTTGGTTTCGAAGTGACAGAAATTCCGCTGGTCACTTCCTGGTGCCTTTCCTATTGCCACGACTTAGGCCGACTCCTATTGTCACATCATCTTGCACCGACTATTTTAATTTCATATTCTTCCTTTCTTGCCCCGTTTGTCTTAGAAAAAGTTACAATGGAAACTTTCCTAGCTGATTTCTTAAAATTAATAGAATTATTTTGATATTATTTTATTAATTAGACTTGATGTGTTTAAAAATCATTTTATTTAATATTAAAATAAAATCATATTAAATTGATTTAGCTTTTATAATGTAATTTATCAAATTTATAATTCTAATAATTAATTTTATTAGGTTTAATAACTTTATTTTAATTTGTATTTTATAAAGTTATCATAATCTTAAATAAATATTTCAGTAATCACTTTTTAAATTATTTATTTATTTATTTATTATTAAAATAATTAGTCAATTAAAAATATTTTTTAGTCTCTAGAAAATTTAACTTGATTTTCAAAAAAGTAATTTTCTTTTATTTTGGATAGAAAATATTTTTTAGAAGCTATAAAAAATTTAAAAATATTATATTATTTGTTGATTATATCAAATTTGATTCTCAAACTTTTTTTTGTTTTTTTTTTTGTTTTGGATTTTTTTTTCAGTTTCATTCCTTATAATTTGATTTTTATATTAACTTTAGTTTTTATTTTTATGATTGTTATTTGTTTTTTCTTATTATTTTTTAATTAAAAGTTTTTATTTATTAAATTTGGTTCTCATTCTTTTTATTGTTACTTACTTTCTTTGAAATATTTTATGAAATTGTAATTATTATTATCTTAATTTCATCATCTTTTACTTTTTTTCTATTAAATTTGATTTTTATTATTTTGATTGTTATTTATTTTATTTAAGATAACTTATAAAATTAGATTATTTTTTCAATTTTATTCTTATTTAGTATATTATTTTTTCAATTTTATTCTTATTTAGCATTTTTTATTTGTAAGATTTGTTTCTCGTTATTATAATAAACTTGAAAATATATTAATAAATTATTTTCTAACTTATTTTTCATTATATAACTAAATATTAAAAAATATTTTTTAATTTATTTTTGATAACCCTACCAACCATGTATTGAAAAACAAAAACAAATTACTTTTAAATTTTTTTAAAAAAACTACTTTATGTAAAACAAATCATATTTGACTTTTTATCGATCACCCATCTATATAAAATAATAACACACAATGCAACAAAGCAAGCAAAAAAAAAAAAAAGAAACGTCGAAGTTCTCAAAGGTGCTAACCAAGACGGATATTCGAAAGAGGCTCTCACTGCCTCTTAAGTTTTTCAAGCCTCTCCCATCTCTTAAAGGTAGCCATGTCCGAGATTTTCCGGCAATAGATGAGAGTGGCTTCGTCTGGACCTTTCAATGCTCTACTCGCAAGAAAGGACACCCAAAGCCAGTTCTCTCAAAGGACTGGCTTGCATTCGTTCGCCACAAGGAGCTTAAAGTTGGTGACAGGGTCAAGTTTTTCAAGGAGAAAGACCAAAGTGGTACTGCAACACCTTTCTTCAGGGTTGAAGCTGAAAAGGAAATCAAGATATTTGGGGTAATCTTTGGGTATTCACCCATTTTAGCCCCATTTCCATGAATGAAAACTCTAATTTTAGCTAGCAAATTGGCAACAAGCCAGCCAGCTAGCCTGTCATTAATTAATGGCTGGTAATATATACAGTTGCCACGCCTGTGTAATTTACTATAGGTGATGATGTTTAATTATTTTCAAGAACTAGAAGCCCTGTTAGAAAAGCCTGAATAAGACTTCTCTGATTGTGTGAGCCGTTTGTTGTTCTTGCTACAGTATTGTTGAAGACACCATAGCTTCTTTCTTCTCTTCTATCTTTTTCTGAAGAAGACTTTTCTGTTTACTTGGTTTAATAAAATGGTATTTTTATTTTTGTGATTTCACTTTCACAAATGCCTTGTGTTTTTTTTTACCTGAAGTAATCACAAAAATCGAAGTAATCACAAAAATCACTGACATGGAGCCGCCAAGTGACATGCCTAACACATTTGACACATAGAATACTGCACATTGAATTAATTAGAGAGTCATTCATTATTTCATCACTGTTGTTATTTATTTTTGAACTACATGAAATTTTTTTTTTAAAAAAAAAATTATGAGAAAAATCACAAATTATTGGAAGGATTTCTGATTTTTTTATTATTAAAAAAATATTTTCTAATATTATATAATAAAATATATTAGATTTAGGTTCAACCTAATATTATGGTACGAGCTTACCTTGGCTGGGCCGTAAATCAACCTAAAAAAAACTGGATAGAGGCTGGACTAAAGCAGGAGCTAGGCAGTGTCTAGACTCATGAGAAAAGGGTTTCCACTGGCCCCAAAATCAGCTAGGTCTAGTATGGACCAAAAAGAATTCGGGTCTGACCAGCCTTCAAAGAAACTAGATCTTGATCGTCGAAAGGAACTGGGTCTTGGCTGCTCTAAAGGCAGCAGGGCCATGTCCGAACCTAAGGTCTTGTTAGCCCCAAAGAAAAGGGGTTTTGACCGGCCTTCAAAGAAAGTGAGTCTCGACCATTTAAAAGAACTGAGTCTTAGTTGCTCCAAAGGAAACATGGTTGCATTTGAATCCAAGTGAAAATGGATCCTACTAGAAAAAAAGAAGAGAGTCTTCACCAGCCCTAAAATGACTGGACCTAAATCGCCCTAGACAAAAGGTAGCTGGGAGGAGAGGGGTCGAGTCATGACCCATAAGAAAATGGCTCAAGAACAACCCCAAGGTAAAATATGTCACAACTAGCCTCTATAGGAACTGGGTCAAGGGCAGCCACACAACAACTGGGCCTCGTCTTGACCCATAATAAACTAGGTCAAGCAAGCCCAAACTGGGGTTAATTAATAGTGCTGCATGTAGAATGAATTGACATTCATGGACTTTGGACATAGATGTTTTCAGGTCTGTCATGGAGTTGGACACGGTCCTAGCTAATCCCAATGTAGGGTTGGGCGAAGACGCATCCAAGTCCAACGTGGAGTTGGAAGCGGTCGCGTCCAAGCCCAACATGGGGTTAGGCGTGGTCGTGTCCAACCAACATGGAGGTGGACACTGTCATGTCCAACCCTAATATAGGGTTGGGCATGGACACGTCTAGATCCAACATGGAGGTGGATGTGGTCACGTCCAACCCCAACATAGGCATAGGCGTGGACACGTCTAAGTCCAATATGAGGTTGGGTAAAATCTCGTCCAACCCCAACATTAGGATGGACATGTATGCGTCCAAGCCCAATACGGGGTTGGGCCTGGTCCCGTCCAGGCCCAACATAGGGATTGGATGCGGATGCATCTAGGCCTAACATGGAGGTAGACATAGTCATGTCCAGACTTAATACAGGATTGTGCATAGAACATGAGGATTGGACGTGGACGTGTCGAGGCTTAATGTGGAGGTGGATGCGGACGCGTCCAGACCGAACGCGGGGTTAGGCATGGACATGTTGGGGTTCAATCATAAATTTGGGCATAATTACCCCCTCCTTAACTTAGAATTGTGCACCTAGAAAAACACTATCCCGTCTTGGGTTATGACTTTCATATGTTATCTCTTAAATAGGGTTGATTTGAGACACCATGACCCATCAATAGCCTATCAAGTCTACTTGTTTGAGACACCACGACCCATCAATAGCCTATCAAGTCTGCTTCTTTGAGACACCACGACCCATCAGAATTTATTTTTTTTACTAACCTTAGTTGAGTCATGACCCTTGTCAAGATGTTTTTTTTCCCCCTTTTTTCAAGGTTTTACTAGCAGAGATAATGTTCTTAGAGAGTTTGTTGTTTGAATCTTCACGATGTATGCTTAGTCCTTCCTTTAAGAAACATTGAACACTTACCACTATGCTAGAGAAGTGGGTCCTAGACACCAAAAGCATGTGTAACCCTGTTTGAACCAGTAGGAGGTGTTATTATAGAAGGATTGTTTCCAATAGTTTTTGATCTTGTAAAGGCTGGTACCCGAGCTATCTAGGAGAGATGTGAGTCTCAGACCTCATATAAGGTGTGTAACCTGATTTGGATAGACAGGGTGAGCTTGATAAGGCTACCCCAACACTCTTGGATGCTATAAAGATTGGTCCTATGCTGTCCAAAAGAGATGCGGGTACTAGACCACATACATGGGTATGTAGCCTATTTAGACAGGTAGGATGGACCTAATAAGGCCCCTTCAATGCTTTTACTTTTGACTAAAAAGGCTAGACAGAAGGAAAAGAGGGAGCGTTAAAAGTTGCCTGGAAGAGTGAGGCATTGATCCCCTTTTACTACCCTAGAGAAGTGGGTCTCAAATGCAATCTTAGACGCCACAAAGGTGTGTAACCCTAATTAGTGATAATAGAGGTTAATGCTCACTTAGAAATTCACTACCATCCTAGAGAAGTGTGCCCATATGCCACAGGGGTGTGTGACCTTGATTGGATCGGTAGGAAGTATTCTTGAGAAAGGAACGTAGAATAAGTAAGAACATAAGTGATAAAAATATGCATTCTTTATTTATATATTTAGTAATGATACAACTTAAGGTGGTCTAAGTGCCACGTATGAGGAAGGTCAGAGCTTTGTGGATTTTGCAGATAATAGGTGTCAGCTTTAATCATTCGTGTCCCCCTAAAAGGTCCATTCCATTTTAGAGCTAGTTTTCCTCTTATCTTTCTATTGCTTATGGCTTCCAGCTTTTTTAGTACCAAATCCCATTACTTAAAGGTCTTGTTCTTCACTCTAGCGTGATGATATTAGGTGGCCTTATATTTGTAAGCCTCATTCATTACAGTAGCTAGGAGTCTAAATTCTTTTAGTAAGTTGGGATTGACTCTGAGTCATTGCTCATTATTTTAAAGAGAAAAGTACAAGACCCTGGTGTTGGGGCATCCAATCTCTACTAGGATCATTGTTTAATCCCATATATAAAGAGAAAAATGGTTTTGCTTGTTGAGTTCTTTGTTGTTTTTCTGTATGCTCATAAGATTTCATCCAAGAGCTCTCTACCCATTCTGACTTGTCATCTTTTATCTTCCTCTTTAAATCGTTGACAAGGACTTGGTTGGTAAGTTCAGCTTGCCCATTCGTTTAAGGGTGTGATATAGAAGAGAACCTGTGATCAATCTGCAATCTTTCACACTATTCCCTCATCTTCTAGTTGTTGAACTAGGTCCTATTATCAATTATCAGTATCCTAGGTACTTTAAATCAGTTGATCATATTCTTCCATAAAAAAAAGAGATCACCTAGTTAATTGTGATGTCTGCCAATGCTTCAGCTTCTACCTACTTAGTGAAGTAGTCTAGAGCCACTAGGACGAACTGTTTTTTCCTCGTTGCTTTAGGGAAAGGTCCTAAAATATCCATTCCCCATTGGAAAAAGGGCCAAGGGGAAGGGATTGTTGTCATCTTAGCTGAGGGTTGCCTTAATATTAGAGCAAATCTTTGACACTCATTACACTTCTTTACCAAGTCTTTGAAATCTTATAATATGGAGGGCCAATAAAAGCCTACTCTTGTGATCTGAGTAGCCAAAGCTCTAAAGCCTGCATGCAATCTATAGACTCCCTCATACATCTCTCTCAAAACATAGATTCTTTCCTTTGAGGACAAGCACCTAAAAAGCGGTGATGATGTGGATCTCCTATGTAAGACCCCGTCAATCATGCAATAACTAGATTCTCTCTTGGTTAGTTTAATGACTTCTAGTCTATTTGAAGGCACAATCCTCGTGAGTAGGTATTCCTTGATCGAAGTTCTCCAATCATTAGCTCCTATAATTTGAAGGACTGTAACGCTACTCTCTTCCATACTAGGACGTTCCAAGACTTCAATCCATACATCAATAGGGAGGCCTATCGGGTTAGTGCTGACTAGTTTGGAAAGGATGTCAACTTGTGTATTTTCCTCTCAGGGCACTCTGATGATCTTAACTACCCTGTCTTTCTAAGCTAGCATGGTTTTGACCTTTTTGGAATACAATATCATGGTTGGATCCCAAGCTTCATATGTTCCCTAGTATTGCCCCATAATCAATTGAGAATCACTATACACCCGTAAAGGATATGCCTTCAGGGCTTTTGCCAGACCCAAACCTGCTGTCATAGCCTCATACTAGGCCATATTGTTTATAGTTGGGAATCCAAACCAAAGCTTATATTAGTAAATCTAACCTTCTAAGCTAATAAGGAGGATCCTTACCCCACTTTCTTTTTGTGTGGAGTTGTCGTCCATATAAAATTGCTAGTCTTGAGATAAAATCAGCCCCGATGACCTAAGGTCTACTAGTTTCTAATTGGGAGAAAGATTTTCTGAGACTACCTCTTCAAATCTACATTCAACTATAAAGTCGGCCAAGGCTTGCCCTTTGATTGTGGGCCTTGACTTGTACTACAATCTGTATTCTCCCAGTTCCACTTCCCATTTAACCAATCATCCTAACATGTCTGATTTATGAAGAATCTACCTTAGAGGTTAGTCTGTCAATACCACCACCTGAAGTGCCTGGAAGTAGGTCCTCAACTCCTAAAAGTTGTCACCAACGCTAAGGCTATTTTTTTCACCCTCAAGTGGTGGGTTTCTGT